TGAGCTCACTGAAAGATCAGATTTTAAGGGGCGGGGCCTACAAGCATGATTTGTGACATCACAAATTGTTTGGAAGTCAAATCCTGGAGCAGTATGCAACTTATATAGGTGTGATGTAGAAACCTGAAGCCGTCAGTGTACACACACTGAGAGTGGACTTGCTGAGACTGATTGCGTTTAAAGAGGTAGAAGGAGTTGATGCCTTTTTAAGGATTTGAATGCAGAAATTATACATTTTTTGCAGAAAAAACTCCAGACTCATAATTGTTCCAAGTAGAGTATTTGTCTTATATGTCTTACATAATACATGTCTGGAGGGGAAGTTCCCCCTTGACTAAGAGCCAATATGGCTATGGTGATCCTTCCAGTCATTTATCAAATAATAATAATAATCATGTGTCAAGAGTCCAACTGAATTGGACCGAAGTGTCAGCACCAAATGTGAGCCAGCCTGGGCCCATATCATGTTTGCCACATTTGGTTTTGTTTTGGGGGTGCACATTGGGGTTGAGTATCAATTTACTGGGACAAATTAGGCCCAGATCCTTTGCAATCAAGCCCAATATGGATTTATGTTAAGGAGGCTAGAAGGATGTGAGTTTCAGTAGGTAATCAGATGCCTTTCTTCAAGATCAGCCGTCTAAGAGCCAGTAATCAACGTAGAACCTGACTTTCATATTAATAATCTAAAGCTTATGTGTAAAGTTATGTTTCTTGACTGCTGAAGGATAAATATATATGTAGGTCACTGGAGCACAGCTCTCCCTTTAGCACCCACTCTGAAGCTGTTAAACATGTACAGACATTAAACCCACCGAATTTCTTAAAATATGTCCTCCTGACGTGCCTCATTCTGCGCTTTAATGTTGGGGTGCTGTGGGTGGATGAAGGCGAAGTCTGTGAGCCGTGGCTGCTTGCCAGGCCGGCTGCACTGGGGGGTCAAAGAGGGAGTGCTGGTAGTGGTTATTTCGGGAGCGTATATCAGCAAGCATCCCCTCCTGTACAGAGTGCTTGAGAGTGACATGGCAAGTGTTGAACACAAGGGAGGATGCACACACACACCACACACACACACACTTTTTCCCCTTCTCACACTCCTGAATGCCCACCCTCCGACACAGCATTCCAGTGTAAGCAGATGAAAGCCAGCCACCCCCTTTCTCCTCATGGGTGGAGTGATTCGCCGTGGTCACAGAAAGGAGTGGGAGACAGGAGCTTCAGGCGCACTCATTGATACTTGCCGAGTGTGAGGAGCTGAAGAAGGGCAGAGAACCTTATTCACACACAGCAGGCTGTGAGCTGGGAGCAGGGATGGTAGCAGAGGAGATTGTGCTCTCCCTCTCTGGAGGAGCACCGTGGGGCTTCAGACTACAGGGAGGAGCAGAGCAGCAAAAACCTCTACAGGTGGCCAAGGTATACCGGAGCCTATATGTGTGTGTGCATTTCAGAGAAGACTTACTGCCAAGGTGGTAACATGAGTAGGTGGGTTTAATAGAAACTGCAGCTGTTAGTTGTGGTCTGAGGGTTTGATGGTCAGTCTTGTGGTTTGCTATGTTTGTAATCTGAGCTTTGTTAGTCGGCATAAAGTCTGAATAAAGGAATCAGTACCTCTTTGCATTGGTGTCATTATGAGCTTAAATATCAGGTGCTCGTAGGTTTTTTCAAGGATTGTAAAATACTAAATATAAGCACTTTTGTCAGTGTAATTGTCTCCCTCTTTCCACACACCTGTACTTATGTGAATGCGTTCTAAAGTCAGTAAGTTTGTTAATTGAGAGGGATTACTTTGATGAGCAGTCCTATTGAAATGCTTATAATCGGATATCAAACAGGATGTCTATTCACATTGAAATTATTGTTACTCAGAAAAATGCTACTTTTCTACTGTTACTTGAGTAGTAATCTTCTCTCTACTCCACACAACAGTACTTCTAGGATATACTAGTACAATTTATTCATACCAATTTCAGTTTTATCCTCCCCGTTGTGATTCAGTTGTGTTTGTGGGTCAGAGAACAGTGTTAACACATGTTAAGGGGTTGATCTTGACTCGGGTTTCTTCTCTGCATCCTGATGGCAGCAGAGATTAGCACTGGTCTCTTTTAAATAGGTTAGTGTACAGTGCATGCATATTACTATTCTATATGTGCACAATAAACATATTGCATGTTGTGCACATGAATGTGTCCACTGTGCACACATACAGGTAGATAATGAACTTTGTCAACGATTTGTCATCGTCACATATTTATTAGACACAATAAGCCGACTTTAAGCCCGGGAATATTCGTCTTCATTTTGGTTTCTCCAGAAGCTTTTTGTGTCTGCGTTTATATTTGTTGACAGTCCAGAATGTTCTCTCTAATAAGAAAATCTATTCTGGAGAGGGGGAATGTGACCTCCCTCACACTGACGTTCAAAGTTGGCCCGACACTCACAAGCTGCCATTACCTCCGATTCAAAATGGAGGTTGAGTGGCTCTGGCACAGAGGGCCACTCTTTATCCAGGATTTTCACACAGATAAGGTCACCTTTAATGAGAGTTTGATCAGTGTGTGCTTCCTCTTATTGGCATATGGGTGTGTGTAACCTGTCGTTTGTGTGTGTGAGTGTAGTTGGGCATACCTCAGATAAGCCAGCTTGGGAATAGAGTGCAAACTAGAGGATCAGAATAGCTACATTAAAAGGAGTTGGAAGCTGAGCATGGAAAAAGTCCTCTGGTTCACACACAAAGATACAGAAACACACACACACACACTTTGTTGTTTTATTTGTTGCTGTCTTTGCCATCACAGCAGCGCCGGTGTTTCTTCATCTGTCTAGGAATGTGGTTAATTTTCCTGCAAGGTTTTATTTTGGGTATGTGGGGAACATATGGTGAATGCCAAGCGTCCCCCCCGGTCCAGACTGGTGATGCAGCTGTCCAAACCCGCTCTTAAAAGATGTACACTTGTGCTGTGTGTGTATATGTACGTGTACATTTGTCTGAGTGGGAAAGTACGAGGTAGATAGCTCGTCCTTGCACTTATTTGTGTGATGCGGCAATGGAATTATTGGGTCAAGAGATACTGATAAAGGCAAATACTGTTTCCTCTTAAGAGTCCAAGTAGGTGCGGGAACACACTTTCCTCCTCTCAACATTTTTGGTGATAAGGTGTATTAGTGTGTATGTGTGAGGAGACAGAGGGGGAGGTTCTTATCATCTTCTCCTTCTAGTGGACAAGAATATTCGCCTTTCCGTCTCTCCCATCTATCACCCACCACCCACAGACATACTTCCTGAAGTGTACTATGACATCATCTCTTAGCGACCCCCCGCAACAGCTGCATGACTTCATTGGTTATTCTGATACAGGGGCGAGGATTTCTGGCAGCAGAAGAGAGCCGAGTGTTGTCGAACAAGTCGCTGAGCTTTAAACCATTTTTTGGTGAAATGGTATCACTGTATAGTCTGTAGGAACCTGGCTGACAGCCTAAAATATGGCTACTGAGATGGTTATCTGCTGAGTTTAAAACGGTGGTGGAAGACAGAGTTCTTAAGCAGTCTTAATTTAATATTATATGACCTACATAAGCACACCAGTCAATCAGTGATAAGATTGGCTATTTCTGTGTAGTTATTCTTAATGCTTGCCACCAGGCAGACTTCTCTCTGAGTGAGAAGAGCTTAGACAAAACCTGAAATCTCTCTTGTGTGAAATAACCAAAACTGTTAAAACTTGGCAAAACACCCATCACTCATTGTAAGAAATGAAGAAAATATGTTTTCACTGGCTTTAAAGCCACTATGTATAAACATTTTATGTGATTATGGTAAAACCAAATCAGGTTTCTTTGTTTACTGTACAATGTTCTGCACTTTAAGTTGTAAGTTATATGTTATATTTAGTTAGATTTTATATTAAATTTTTTTATATTTTTAATTTTATATTCTTGTGTGTTGCCTCAGGGAGTCG